CTAGTCAATTCTAAACTTATCACTTGGGGCTTACGAAAAAAATAAATGGCACCTTGCATGCTGATCAACTAAAATATAATGGTAGTAGCACTTATACATTTGATTCGTGCCTACAAGGTATGGGTGTTCAAATAAACTACTTTAATTCCTCAGAAGTTTCAGTTGCTGCATAAATTTGGTATCATACATCCAGAAGTGCTTCACTCAAGTGGAAATGCATTACAAACCAGCAAGGAATCTAGTTTAACAACTGACTCACTATGTTGCATCAACATAGAAGTAGAGCAGTTTGCATATTCTAGATCACTTTTTCCTTTACGAGACAAAGCATTAATAGTATTGTCACACTGCTTCCATCAAGCATTCTTAAAATGCATATCACAATCATATTTCAATTCCTGTATAGTGATATTTCTATGGAATACAGACTTCATCGTGCTCCATCAATATAAACCTTCATCACTGGCAGCAAAAGTGATTAGCTTCCGTATAATATAAAATACGTGCACATATTGATTAGCTCCCAAGAACTGCTACATGCCAGGCAATTTGAATAGGGTGACAAATAATGCCATCCAACTTCTCAAAGCAAAAAAGAACTAAGTAAAGTTTATGGTTTTCAATCTTCAGTATTTTTATTATACCGACAGATATTCAGGTGTTGACAGGGATACTTCAGCTTGTTGCATTAAGCACCAATGGAATGAATTGTAATTAGGTTACCTCATAAAAGAAAGACTATTTTAACAATCTTAAAAACACAGTAATATCAAAGATTTTGTTTGCTAACAATAAATGGAGTGTGTCCCACAAAAACTGGCATGTTATTTTCCTGATAAAACTTGTGTCTCTGTTGAATGCATGACTAAAGTCCCTGTGAATTGGAATTACAAATCCACTGAAAGGACATGGACAATCACTGGACTTGTCTTTTTACACTACTGGCTTACAATACTTGAATAAATTGCACATTATTGAATGAGATGCAGCTGGATTTTTAACAGTGCATCAAGTTCACATCTACTGCTGGAAAAAACCTCCCGTGGACTCACATAAACTAATTTCAAGTTTGACTGTCTATTCTTTCCCTTTATGATTATTTTAAAAGGTTTATATTTTAGCTTCTACTTCAATCCCATATGTTCCAATCTTTCAACTTCCATAAGATAATATTAAAAAGTGATGTATAAAACTTGCAAGGACATGGAGATTGAGTAGGGCTCACAGGATTGCTGCACCTTCTCTGTTTTTGCAAACCAGGGGAGGCAATGGCCTAGTGGTATTATCGCTGGACTGTTAATCCAGAGACCTAGATAATGTTCTGGGGACCCAGATTTGAATCCTGCCACAGCAGGTAGTGGAAACTGAATTCAATAAATATCCTGAATTAAGAGTCTAATGATGGCCATGAATCCACTGTCGATTGTTGGAAAAGCCCATATGATTCACTGATGTCCTTCAGGGAAGAAAACGGTCATCCTTATGTGGTCTGGCCTCCACTGACTCCAGATCCACCGCAACCTTGTTGACTCTGGGCAATTAGGAACAGGCATGGAATGCTGTCCTAGCCAGCAATGCTCTCATCGTGAATGAATATTAAAAAAACTATGGCATAATAAAAGGAAGATTCAAATTAATTAATTTGACAGCAATGATGTCATTCAGCAATTGCTCCATTTATATTTCAAACACAAGAGGTCTGGAATATTTATTGATAAGTTCACTATAATACTTTTGAGAAAAAAAAACTTTAAAATATGGGTAATACTCCCTATTTAGTACTATTGTAATGATGATTTGCTAGAATGCCACACGTTTTTGCGCCATCACAAATCATCTCTCAGATTTTGCCCATTATTCATTATCGGCTTGCTTTGACTCAGGAATGGAATATGTATGTTTTCCACTGCTTCTTCCAAGAAATTTCAATAATCTCCCTCCAAGTCTCACCTTACAGTGAAGGAATGACCTGAATCAATATTTTTCTATTAATTTATGCCTGAATCATACATGCCATTACTCATGAATTTCTGATAAAATTCAGCCCAATAGCTTGTTAAGTGGGGAACAGGAAAGAAAGCATCCGGAAAATAGGATGCAATTACCTGCCATCCTATTCCCAAGAGACTGCAACAATATTTTTTGGTGAATACAAATCAAGCAGCAGCCCTGCTCCAATGCTTACTTGTATCCTTTTAATAATATTGCTAAACATTTTTGAACTGACCAGAATATAGCACATGCCACATGACCAGTTGAGTTTCTGCAAACAATTTTCTGCATATTGAACAGACTTTCTCTTAGCTTCTTCCAAACCACATAGTACAAAAATGGGCAAGGGTTGTAAAAGACAACAAGGTGCAGGGCTGGATGAACACAGCAGGCCAAGCAGCATCATAGGAACAGATGTAAGAGCCTCAGTTGGTAACACACTCACCTGAGTCAGAAGGTTGCAGTTTTACGTCCTATTCCATTGACTTGAACACAACAGTCAAGGCTGACATACCCAGTGCAGTACCAAGGGAGTGCTGCACTGTTTGAGATGCCATCTTGGAGATGAGACATTAAACCAAAGCTCCATCTGTGTTCTCTCAGGTAAATGTAAAAGATTCCATTATTTCTAGTGGAAATAGTAGCCACTAGACGGTCATTATTTCTGAGAAAAGCAGGGGAATGCTCCTTGTCTGGTAGGTCAAAATTTATCCGTTAATGCGCGCTTAAAAAAATGATCAGATAACTATCACTTTATTGTTTGTAAGAGTTTGCTATATGTAAATTGCCACTTTTCCTTAATAACAACAGTGTCTATACTTCAGAAGGTATTAAAGTGGATGTAAAATGTGTTGGGACATTGAGGTCACAAATGTTAGTTAAGTTTCAGTATTTAATTTTCTTTCTCCAAGCTTGTTTGCAATCCAGAGTTTCTCTCACTGGATGAAGCCTGCCGTCCCATGTTGTTTTCATACAATCCCTACAGTGTGGAAGCAGGCCATTCAGCCCATCGAGTCCACACTAACCCTCCAAAGAGGAACGCCCAGACCCACAACCCTACCCTATCCCTGTAACTCTGCATTTCCCATGACTAATCCACCCAGCCCGCACATCCCTGGATACTGGGCAATTTAGCATGGCCAATCTATCTAAGCTGCACAGCTTTGGACTATGGGAGGAAATCGGAGCACCCGGAGGAAACCCATGCAGACACAGGGAACGTGCAAACTCCACATAACCAGTCACCCAGGCTGGAATCAATCCTGGGTCCCTGGCACTGTGATGCAGTAATGCTAACCTCTGAGCCACCATGCTAAGGGTTGACTTTTGATATACACTAGGCTTCCCAATAAATTGTTCACTCACCAGATATATTTACACAGTAATTGGGTTGCAAATTGGGAGATTAGTTGACCAAACTCAGCTGAAAACTGGCATTTTAACAAGAGTATTCTGGGGAATGTAACACAGCAGGTGTCAGCACATGTAAGAACAGAACAAAGAAATAACTGTTTGGAGCGCGACTCAGTTGAAAATCTTCAACTTCAGTAATGTGGATTATTAGTCAATCACTGAAAAAGCCAACAAGAATGACCTCAAATGTAAAAAGAGTGTAAATCTTCAGTCTTGAAAGGCAATGATTAACGGAGGATATCAAAGTATATCAATTATTAAAACAGTAGTGTTTGTTCCAAATTTCCAAACTATAAAAATGTCTTCATTCAAACACTGCAAAGCAGATGCAGAGACCACTGGTAATGTTCCCACGCATCTGCTGCCTTTGTTTTTCTAGGTGGTAGCGGTTGTAGCTCTGGAACATGTGGAAGGGGCCTTACTGAATTGTGACAACGTACCTTGTAAATGGCATACACTCCTGACACTGTGCTGGTAGTGGAGGGATTGAACGTAGAAGCTGGTGGTTCGGGTTACAAATCTAGGGGGCTGTTCTGTCCAGGATTTTGACTTTAATTTGTTGATGGAATGTGGGCCTTGCTGATTTAACCAGCAAAAGGTACTTAATCTGACTCATTAATGTCCTTTAGGAAAGGAGCTCTGCCACCCTCATCTGGTCTGGCTGACATGTGACTCCAGACCCAGAGCAATGTGGTTGACTCTAAACTGTCCTCTGGGAAAGGAGAGATGGGCAATAAACATTGGTTAAGCTAGCAATGCCCACATTCCATCAACAAATTAAAATCAAAATCCAGGACAAAGCAGCCCTCCTGACTATCACTCAACCCACCACATCCTACATTCATTCCCTCCATTACCGACACAGTGGGAGAAGTGTACACCATTTATAAAATGCAATACCATAACTCACCAAGGGTCCTTCCCCAACATGTTCCGCAATTACAACCTTGACCATCTAGAAATTAAACAGCAGCAGATGCATGGGAACACTACCAATTACAAGTTTCCATTCATGCCAGGCACCATCCTGACGTGGCATTATAGCTTTGCTCCTTCACAGTAGTGGGATCAAAATTCTGGAACTCCCTTGCTAGCAGCATTGTGGTTGTACCTACAGCAGATAAACTTCAATAGTTCGAGAAAACAGCTCACAACCACATTCTCGAGAGCAGTTAGGGATGGGTAATGAATGCCAGCCTAGCAACACCATCCACATATCTGACAAAAGAATAAATGTAAAAGAAAGGAAGAATTGCAAAGCTTTTTCGAGAAGAGGTTGGGGCTGAAATTAAAGCTAAAATTGGCACATGTTTGGAAAGGCTTTTTTCCCGTTCCAAAATTTCTGACCAGGAAGGGTTCTGTCTGTGCTTGATGCATGATTAACTAATGATAATTTCAAAGATCAAATATTGGCCACTCTGTAAAATACATGCTTATTTATAAAACTAAAAACTCTAATTTAATGATAATAAAATATAAGTAGTATGTCAACAACCGGAACCACCATTTCAGTCATTTGTGTGAAACAAAGCTACCATGGTAGCTACAACACTTGTCCATTTTTCTATTTTTTTTAAAACCAAAGAATACTTCTTACCACGTGGGTAGCTTTCAATGTGTTGGCATCAAATCGAGTTAAGCTGGCAGTATCATCAGGGAAGCGATCACACTCCTCTAACTCGCTGGCATTGCATGGTGGCTTGTCCTTTTCAGGATCTGCATTCTGTAAATGACATAACAGCACAAAATGCAAAGTATTTAGGCATCAGGGTCACCTTTATGCGCAACATAATCTTGTACTGTTTTATTTTCTCCCTTCTTTCCCAGTGCTCTTGACTCATGCTGGGAATAATTCTGCAAGCAATGCATCCAGTCTGTTCAGGTGTAGTCACATCTATTTCAGACCGAAAAAGGATAGATCAGGGTACTTTCTAGACGGTAAGAAGTTAAATACAGTGGTGACGCCCAAAGAGACTTCAGGGTTCAGGTGCATTGATCTTTAAAATGTCATGTACAGGTGCAGAAAATAATCAGGAGAGTTAATGGAATGCTGGCCTTTCTATCTAGAGGACTGGAGTATAAGGCTGCACTTGTTATGCTGCAGCTATACAAAACCTCAGTTAGGCCCTATTTGGCTTACCGAGAGCAGGTCTGGGCACCATACCTTAGGAGGGAGGTGTTGGTCTCAGAGGGAGTACAATGTAGGTTCACAAGAATAATATCTGGACCTCAGGCGTCAAGTTACGATCAGAGACTACACAAATTAGGCCTGTTTTCTCCAGAATTTAGAAAGTTAAGGGGTGATCTAATCGAAGTTTGCAAGCTATTAACAAGAAAACACAGGGTAGATAAAGATAAATTATTTCCACTGGTTGAGGATTCTAGAATTAAGGGGCATAATCTGAAAATTAAGGCCAGACCATTCAGGTAAGATATTAGGACACATGTCTACACACAAAGGGTGGTAATGAACCCTGGCCAATGAAGATGAACCCTATTTAAGTACTTTCTTTTATTCTTCTTGTACTTCAAAATGACACTGGATTGTGGCAACAGAACACTTTTCACTGTATCTGTGAAGTGTGACAAATAATAAATCATTCAATTATTCAGATGTTTGGAATTCTCTACCATAAATGTCAGTGGATGCTTGATCGGTTGTTAATTCTAAACTGGAGAAAGATAAATTTTTGTTAGCAAAGATATTAAGGGACATGGAGAGAAGACAGATAAATGGAGTTAGGCCCCAGATCAGCCATGATCTGTGAATGGGGAAAAGGATTGAGGGACTGAATGGCCTACTGTTACTATATTCCAATAACTCACGAAGGAACACAACTTTTCAACATGGCAGACATCAAAACCCTACTTTATCCTTAACGTGCATACATGCACTTCCCAACAGGGACAACCAGAATATGATCAGAAACTGGAACCACATCCTACATCATGTCTCTCTAACCAATGGTACTTTTTCCAAATTGACTCTGGTTGATTGACACAAGTTGAGATAAGTACAGGGACTGAATGTGGTACCTTTCAGGAGGAGTATATGACACAGTGTCACACTAGGATGTTCTCAGTTCTTTCACAGTGGAGTAGAATTTCATAAGTTCAAAGATACTTTGCAACTGTGACTTTATTTGAAAATTCAAATCAGGGCAGGACTTATACACTTGATGATAAGGTCCTGGAGTGCAGGTTAACAGTTCCCTGAAAGTGAATTTGCAGGTAGTCAGGGTAGTGAAGAAGGCGTTTGGTAAGCTTGCCTTTATTGGTCACTGCATTGAATACAGGAGTTGGGATGACATGTTGTGGCTGTACAGAACATTGGTTAGGCCACTTTTGGAATACAGTGTTAAATTCTGGTCTCCTTGCTAAAGGAAAGATGTTGTGAAATTTGAAAGGGGTCTGAAAAGATTTAAGTGTTTTGCCAGAGCTGGAGGGTTTGAGCTATAGGGATAGGCTGAATAGGCTGGGGCTATTTTCCCTGGAGTATTAGAGGATGTGGGGTGACCTTATAGAACATAGAACAGTACAGCACAGTACAGGCCCTTCGGCTCATGATGTTGTGTCGAACTTTTACCCTAATCTTAAGGTCTATCTAACCTCCAACCCTACCTTATACTATCATCCATATGCCTATCTGATAGCCGCTTAAATGCCCCTAATGAGGCTGACTCAACTACCCTCTCCGGCAATGCATTCCACGCCCCTACCACTCTCTGAGTAAAGAACCCACCTCTGACGTCTCCCCTATATCTACCTCCACTCACGATAAAACTATGCCCCCTCGTAATAGTTACCTCCATCCTAGGAAAAAGTCTCTGGCTGTCTACTCTATCTATACCTCTGATCATTTTGTACACCCCTATCAAGTCACCTCTCATCCTTCGTCGTTCTAAAGAGAAAAGCCCTAGCTCTCTCAACCTTTCCTCGTAAGACCTTCCCTCCATTCCAGGCAACATCCTGGTAAATCTCCTCTGCACCTTTTCCAACGCTTCCACATCTTTCCTGTAATGAGGCGACCAGAACTGGACACAATACTCCAGATGTGGCCAAACCAGGCTTTTGTATAGCTGGAGCATAACTTCATGGCTCTTGAACTCAATCCCTCTATTCATGAAAGCTAACACACCATACGACTTCTTAACAACTCTATCCACCTGGGTGGCAGCTTTCAGGGAACTGTGGACATGAACCCCAAGATCACTCTGCTCCTCCATACTGCCAAGGATCTTTCCGTTAACCCTGTATTCTGCTTTCAAGTTTGTCCTTCCAAAATGAATCACCTCACACTTTTCAGGGTTAAACTCCATCTGCCACTTCTCAGCCCAGCTCTGCATTCTATCAATGTCCCTTTGTAACCTAGAACAGCCCTCCGCACTGTCCACAACTCGACCCACCTTTGTATTATCCGCGAACTTACTAATCCACCCTTCCACTCCTTCATCCAAATCATTTACAGAAATCACAAATAGAAGAGGTCCCAGAACAGATCCTTGTGGTACACTACTCGTAACTGAGCACCATGTTGAATATTTTCCGTCCACTACCACCCGTTGTCTTCTAAGGGTCAGCCAATTCTGAATCCAATCTGCCACTTTTCCCCCTATCCTATGCCTCCTTACTTTCTGCATGAGCCTACCATGGGGAACCTTATCAAACGCCTTACTTAAATCCATGTATATCACATCTACTACTCTACCTTCATCCATGTGTTTGGTCGCCTCGTCAAAGAATTCAATAAGTTTTGTGAGGCATGATCTATCCCTCACAAATCCATGCTGAATATCATGAATCAAACTATGACTTTCCAAGTGATCATAAATCCTGTCTCTCAGAGCCCTTTCCAATAATTTGCCCACCACTGACGTAAGACTAACTGGCCTGTAATTTCTGGGGTTATCCCAATTCCCTTTTTTGAACAAGGGAATGACGTTTGCCTCTCTCCAATCTTCCAATGTAGTCGAGGAGAATACTGAGATACAGTCTATTAGACTAGACGGGATTGAGGGTCATAAGGAGGAGGTGTTAGCAATTCTGGAAGGTGTGAAAATAGATAAGTCCCCTGGGCCGGATGGGATTTATCCTAGGATTCTCTGGGAAGCTAGAGAGGAGATTGCAGAGCCTTTGGCTTTGATCTTTATGTTGTCATTGTCTTCAGGAATAGTGCCAGAAGACTGGAGACTAGCAAATGTTGTCCCCTTGTTCAAGAAGGGGAGTAGAGACAACCCTGGTAATTATAGACCAGTGAGCCTTACTTCGGTTGTGGGTAAAGTGTTGGAAAGGATTATAACAGATAGGATTTATAATCATCTAGAAAGGAATAATTTGATTAGGGATAGTCAACACGGTTTTGTGAAGGGTAGGTCGTGCCTCACAAACCTTATTGAGTTCTTTGAGAAGGTGACCAAACAGGTGGATGAGGGTAAAGCGGTTGATGTGGTGTAT